CATCCCATGACAACAAAAAAGACTACCCCCTGTAGCCACAGCCCCTCAGATACCTGGAGCCAGGCATCATGCCAGGACTGAAAGGAAAAGGACTGAGATTTAAATCAAGTTGAAAACCAAATTTCAAATTAAACTGGGCTTATATTTTTCATGAGGGATGGGAAGTGGGAATTCAACAAGGCATGAGTTGGACCCATGGCTGGTTCTACATGTGTACCCCATAAAGTTGAGGCGTCTCAGGAGTTAGCATCTTTATCAACCCCAAGGGATAATACTCATCCAAGTTATAACTTACCAAGGTCAGAAAATTCCAAGTTGACCTGAAAATTAACTATGTGCCATGTCAAAGTCAGGGACACAGTGAGCTGATTACACCATAGAGTAGGTCCCCTGAATCCTGATCCAGGTCTGTCATCCTACCTTGTGACTGTTGTGACCAACAACAGCAGCAAGATGAATGATTGGAGAGACTGTCATATATTGTAACTCTGTTGTGAAGAGCAGCTTGGGCTAGACCACCAGTATGTAGATGGCACTTTTTCATCATTCTGTCAGCTCTGTGCTATGCCAACCTCCTTCAGCACCTGTGGCTGTATACACTTAGGCTACGTGGCAGATGGAGAAGGGATGCCAGGTGGGAAGAGGACAAGAAGTTAAGTCCACAATTAACCACCTGTATCAATTCCTTCTTGCTGATATAACCAATTACCACAAATTTAATGTCTTAAAACATATCAGATGGGGCTGTGGAGATGGCTCATTTGGTGACGTGACTCCCACACAAGCATTAGGACCTGAGTTTGGATCCATGGCACTAAGTAAAAGCCAGGAGTAGTCTCACACATCTGTAACTGTAGTGCTGGTAGGGGCGGGGGCACAGAGATGGGGGATCGGGTGAATCCCTTGAGCTCACTAGTCAGCCAGGCTAAGCAATCAGTGAGATTTGGGCTCAGTGAGAGACTTCTGTCTCAAAAAAAAAAAAAGGTGGAAAGCAATAGTGGAGGACACCCAGTGCCAAACTCTGGCCTTCACATGCACACACACACACACACACACACACACACACACAATCATAGAAAGAGGGGGGAGGGAGAGAGAGAGAACAAAAAACCAAAACAAAACAAGGCAAGTATAAAATCTGACAATTCTATAGATCCAAAATCTGAAATGAGTTTTTGTGGACTAAAATCCAGGTGTCACCAAGGCTAATTATTTCTGAAGATTCCATGGAGGAATCCATTCCTTTCTTCTCCAGTCTTCTGGGATTGCAGGCATTCCTTAGCTACTGGCTGTGTTACTCCTCCAATGTGGTTTACTTGGTAACCTCTCCTACTTCCCCTGCCTGTTTCATCCTGCATCCTACTTATAAGAAATGGGTGGAATAACGCCAGGAGTGGCGGCACACACCTTTAATCTCAGCACTCCAGAAGCAGAGGCCAGTGGATCTCCGTGAGATTGAGGCTAGTCTGGCCTACATAGGGGGTTTCAGGTCAGCTGTGGCTACAGGGAGACCCTGTCTCAAAAAGACCAAAAAAGAAAGAAGAAAGAAAGAAAGAAAGAAAGAAAGAAAGAAAGAAAGAAAGAGAAAGAAATGCTGCATAGGGGCTGAAGAGAATGCTCAGTGGTTAAGAGCACACACTGTTCTTGCAGAAGACCCAGGTTCAAATCCCCAGTACCCATATATAGCAGTTAACAACTATCTGTAACTCCAGTTTCAGGGGATCAGAATCTCTCTTCTGGCCTCCCTGGGCATTGCATGACATGAGTGCACTTACATACATGCAGAAATAACACTCATACACATAAAATAAATAAACACATTTTAAATATTTTTTAAAGAAATGCTGGAGTAATCTGCCCAACCTCAATCTCCGCAATCCCATGCCAAAGTGATTTTGGCCATATAAGGATTCTAGGAATGAGGACATAGACATTTTCAGTATAGCACATGACCCAGAGGCTTCCATACCCCAGACCCAGCAGCTCTCTCTATATTATAATGATGGACACAATAAAAGCTTGGAGTTAGAATTGGAAAAGCAACTGCTTTCTTCTCTGAGAAAATCTGGTACCTAGGGCCAGAGCAACAGAAAGCTTCTAGAGCCCAGGAGGCAAGAAGGGAGACCTTTCCTGCCTTCTGATAGGAGCCATGAGCTTCTTGACCAGAGTCAAGCCCTGTGCCTTGTCCTGCAGCCTGTCATTTATTGTCGCTTGTAGTAAATGAATATAAGAGGTTACGCATTCCATTCATTAATAAGGAGAATCTCATTTCTATTAATTAGCTGGGATATCCCAGGCTCCTTACAGGCTCATCCTCATATATCTATTTGTCATCCACAAACCACCTACCTGGTGGCCTACTTAGGAGGCTGGGAGAAAGATACTGAGGAACATCTTAAGTCCCATCTGAATATCAAAATCACAAGACAACACAGAGGGATACCTGATGCAAAGCTCAGATTGAACCTAGAGAAATACTTGCAACAGTCCTGCTCATCCCTGTAAGAACTCCTTTGAGAAGATCAGCCCCTACCTGGTACTAGCTGCATCTTCTCGCCTCAGCTGATATCTCTTGAGCACACCTAAAGCTCCACAGCAGAACATGTAGGCACCATGTTAGCTTCAAGCCTTTAACAAGCGGCAGCCACAGAGTTGACATTTATTGCAAACATCCTTTGTGCCAGACACTATGGCTTTGTTTTACTTTTTTCCACTTCACAGTGCATTACCTCCTCCAAACAACTTTATAAAGTAGACACTATTGTTAGTCCCTCTCCTCAAGTGTGGAAACAGATGTGATGCACAGATGTGTGACCCAGTCGTACAGCAGTGGTGCTGGGATTCCGATAGTGGGTGGTACAGATGATGAAAACTGCTGCTCTGGAATCTTCTGTTCTGTGCTTCTGTGCCCACCACCTTAATGCATGGAAACAGCACTGCCACAGGCACACAGATATGGAAAAATCCAAGGGGTCGCTGAGTGATTCAAGCTGGACAAATGCTTCCCGCGGACAGAACTCAGCAGACAGACTCAAAATACACTGAAATGCTATAGGGAGACAAAAGGCAGCAAAAGTGCTGCCTTGGAGGTTCAGCCCCTCCTGACCAGGAAGGAACACATCTCTGAAGCTCTTGGATACTAGTTCAGGTCCTCTAATGAGATGGAAAGTAAGCCTATAAGCTTCTACACAGACACCATACCATGCTGGCCAGAGAGCTCCTAGAACCACCCTGGAAATACTTAACCTTTGAGTTTAAGATTTATTTTGTAATTTATTTATTATGTGTATGATTGTTTTGTGTGCATGTATGTATGTGCAGCTGTGTATGCATTGCCCAGAGGAGGCCAGAAGAGGGAGTAAATCCCTTGGATCTGGAGTTATAGATGATTATTAGCCACCATGTGGGTGCTGGGAACCTGATCCTGGGTTTTCTGCAAGAGAAGCCATTGGGCTTAACTATGAGTCGTCTCTCCAGTCCCTGAAGATTTATTTTCATTTTTAAGTATGTGTATGGTTATGTGTCTGTGTGGGTGTGGGTATATGTGAGCATAGTTACCCAAGGAGACCAGAAGAGGATGTCAGAGCTCCTGGAACTGGAGTTATAGGCACTTGAGAACTTTTCTCCTCCACCACCCTCCCAGCAGGGGTGTGGGTCCTGGGAATTAAACTCTGGTCCTTTTGCAAGAGCACTATCCATTTTTCACCACTGATCTACCTGTCAGCCCCTTAACTTTCATTCTAACTAAAGATAGCTATTAAAATACAGTTATAAAGATGCATCAGTAAAACAGGATAAAAGGGAAGGTGTTCCTTACTAAGCAGTTCTATGTGAGCCATGGAATTCATGAGGCACAGAAAGAGGCTTAAAAACAATAAGTCCAGGAAAATACAGTGAGAGGCAGAGAGTGTAGATTTTCATCCATGCCTGCATGCTTGTTTAACAGGCTTAAGCCCTTAAGTACCAGGCTGTCTGCTAAGACCATGAGGGTACACAGACCATAGCCAGAATTGAAATCCTCAGGGAAGTGTTGTCTTGTTCTAATTCACACAAGACATTGCAAGGGTTTAACAGCCACCCTCAGGACATGATATTAACTAAAACGTTCCCTGCATTTTTAGATCAGGGCCACACACTTTCTTGGCTGAATCCAGCTGCAAACATATTTGTCTGGATTTCACTGTTTCATAAACCAAAGGGTTTTTATAAGAAATCTGAATGTTCCAGCTATCTTGAAACCTAAGTTCCAGCAATCCTGGGCTTGCATTCTCACTTAGCAGTGACCAGCTGGAGTCAAGAAAAGACAGTTCTTAGTGAAGGGAGCGTGCGTTCCCCACTTTTGCTCTGTCTCCACCACTCCCTATTGTCTCTTAGGCAATGTCAGCTGCTTTCCTTGGTGTCTGCCTAGCAGTCAAATAAGAATGCAATGTGTGAGACGTGCTTCTGGGGTTGGATAGAATAGACAGGAGGAGTCTAAAGAGAGGACTGCACCACAGTGGGATATGTGCTAACAAAAGTACATTCAGAACACTTAGTGGCTAAGTTGGAGCAAGAATCTGTCTCTGCCCATTCACTGATAGAATAGACAGGAGGAGTCTAAAGAGAGGACTGCACCACAGTGGGATATGCGCTAACAAAAGTACATTCAGAACACTTAGTGGCTAAGCTGGAGCAAGAATCTGTCTCTGCCCATTCACTGGGTTCAGACCTCTAGCAGTCTAGCCTCTCCTGGGCTCACACAAGCAAACCACTGTAGTCTAAAGAGATAGGGTCCTCCCAAGCCCTAAGTCATCACTGATGCATGGTGTCCACAGCACTATCAAGTTCCTGGCTCTAGACCCAGGGAGGACCCCAGGTATTTGAGTTATCCTTACAGTTAAGCCAACCACAATACCATCTGCATGAGATTACCCAGTGCAGTCTCTGGTCCTATCACATCTTATGTAGTATATAATAATCTTAAGCGAAGAGAGTTAGCAACCCCAGACGATCCCTATTACCTGCAGAAGAGCACAGCGCATGAAGATCATCCACGTCAGCAGCCACCAGGGGCCTGTCCAGAAAGCCATGGGATCTAATATTCTAGGGGTCTCACTCACAACCTGCAAAAGAGAACAGACTTGCTTTCCAACAGTTCTGGCTCAGCAACAGGATCTATGACTTAAACCGATCAGAGGGAGGTTACCCTGCAACCCAGGTAGTGTCTTGGAAAGGTCTGTGTTGGCCTGCTGCAGAATGGGAGCAATGGGAAGCTCCCTTTAGGATGAGTCCACTGAGATTAGGAGTAAGGAGGAGCTGGACCTGCCTCCAGTCAGCAACTCACATCTCAAGCCCTCCAGAAGTTGAGACATCCCGGGATCAGCCACTTCCCATCCCATTTGTCAGCACCAGGGTTGGACTTTTGGCATGTGACTCTGGAAGCCAGCCTACAGCCAAGGGTTAGGGCACCTGCCAGCTTTGGCTCCTTGAGGCAAAAAAAAGAAGAGTCTATTGCCAACTAAACCAGTCCAGAGAGGGAAGGAACCTGCCTAAGATCACACAGCAAGCCAGGAACATTCTAGGGCTAAAATGCTGGTCTTTTGATAGGCATTTCTCACTTGACAACACAGATCTTCTGCCTCTAGATCTGCAGCTTTGGGGAATAGTGTCCTAAAGGCGAGGAAAAACCAGAAGAGGTTAGCTGATGGATGGTGAGGAAGGCCTTTAAAATTTTTTTTTTAACCTGAGCTTTCCTGTCAATTTATAGGGAAATCAGTTTGAGTGGAGACTGGAAAAGCCGAGGTCACATTCGACTCTTGCTTCGCCTTGCGGGCGCCTTGGCTGAGCCGGTGTCCGGGGGCGGGTCGGTGGCTTCTCTCCATCTGGAGAAAGCATTAAGGCCTGGCCTAATGCGATCCGCAAATGTGCTGCTGTTTCCGAACTGAGGCGGCGACTCTAGGCCGAAGAGAGGCTGCCAGGGCTGGGCCCCGGTACCACTAACCCCACCTCTGCTGGCTGGCACACTCCGGCGAAGACCGACGGCCTTGAGGTCGCAGCGCCAGCGCCCCGCCACCCTCACACCTCCTTTCCCCTGCGCGCCTGAGCCTTGGTCCTCTGGGCTGCGGACGCGCTAGCCTCAGTGGCCAACCCACTGGACCTTCAGACACTCCAGGCTGTGATCAGCCGGCAGCACGCTGACCTTGAAGGGTGTCCCCATCATCGAGAATGCCCCTCGCCCGCAGGGAGCACGGGAAGCCTCTGCCCATCCTTCCGGAATCCGGTGGTTGCGCCCGCCCCGAGGTGTCTTAAGCCCATAGGGCAGAGCGTCCGGCTCCTGAGGCCAGCGGCCAGAGTAGGATCCCACTTGCCCATGGCGACCCTACCAACTTACCATCCCCCGAAGAGACCTGTCCCTGGATGCCCACACGTGTCCCTGCACTCGGCCCCGGATGCTCGCGCCGCAGTGGCGTCTGTGGGCACAGCAGAGGTGCGCTCTGCAGAGAAGCAAGCTGGCAGCGGCGACCAGCAACACCTCGTGCGGAGCGCTGGAGCCTGACTGTCCCCGACGCCGGCCTCCAGCCCGCGCCGCCACGAAAGTTAAACGGGTCTGGGACGCGGCCGCCCCTCCTGTCCCGCCCCTCCGGGCGCGCGGAGCTCAGCGCTGGCCCTAACCCAGAGGCGGAGACCCGCCCGAGCCCGGGGCCGCTGGGGACGCGAGGAGAGCGGGCGACGGCGCCGCAGCCCGGCCACTCGGAGCGCACGGGGCCGTGGCCACGGCGAGACTCGGCTGGAACGCTCCTCCGCCCGCTTCCTGGAAGCCACTCCTCGCCCTGGGCCTGCCGCCAGGCCTGATGCCAAGAGCCGGGGCTGCCGACGCCGACGCCGACAGGCGCGCTGGGAAGAGACGGCTGCTGCGCCGCTGGCCCACGGACCAGAGCCGGGATGCGGTTCCCTCCCATCACCACCGCCTGGCCCCGGAGTCTTCAGCATCCGCCCGGTCGCCTTGCGGAGTGCTGCCCCAAGCCGCTGGCTGGTGCTTACCGGGAGGCAGGATCAAATTAGGGGGACCAGCTCCAGACCTTCGCGGTATCCGCTCCCGCAAGATGCCCTACAGAGAGAGACCTGCTCAGCGACTGGTGTGGTCCTGAGACTTTTGGTTGCCAAAGACCCTGGGTGACTCAGCGGGGGCGGCTGAGCCGGGTACCACCTGGGGCCTCTGGTAGGATGCATGTTTGGGTGACATGGAACTCAAAAACTGTTAGGAAAATAAATGCAGCGCCCAGGCCTAGGATTTGGATTGGAGGTGTCAGAGACGGATGCTGGGGTGAGGATGTCCTGTAGACTGCTAGACATAAGAGAAGTCGGGGGAGACAGGCAACAGAAGTCAAGGGCCAGGGTTTTCTCTTTAAGGTCTACAGGCTTGGGCCTCCCCGGAAGGACCTCCAGCCTTCATTCCACCAGTGTAGTTGCTTTGCCAAAGTCTTCCAAAGAGAGATAATTCCTAGCATCATCCCATTTCACTCTCGTGGACTTTGAGATTCCTCGGGGATCACTAACTTGCCCATGTTAGAAGAGAGGCCAGGGCTGGAACCCGCATCTACCTCTTTCTCGAGAGCAGTTCAAACCCAGGGTCGCTCTCCTGCCTGCTGGATGGTACATTAGAGATTCTATTATGGCATTACCAATAGTTGTCCCTCCCTGCTTTCCTCGCCTGTTTTTCCCCTCCATACTCTGATGGCTTCCCGTGGACAAAAGGATCTCAAGATTCTTCCTCTACTCCAGGAAAACAGCTGGAATTTTGTGGAAAGTGAGCAATAGGTCAGGTGAAGTGGGGAGGGACGTGATTCAGGCAGAACCAAGAAGAGAAGACCAAGATACACCAAGACTAACTTGCCTATGTATAATTGAGTTTCCTTGAACCATAGTTACACTCTGTAAAGTCATGCAAACAACGCATTAGTGAATACTGAGCCATTGCTCCAATGGTGATAAAGGGTAGGTTCCTACAAACCTCTGGTCACATTTTTGTCAGCCAATTGGCACACTGCCTTATTTTGTGTGTTAACATATGTTGTCCACTCATTCACAGGAAACCCAAGTACCACACCATAACTCACAGCTGACTGAGGCTGTTCTGCAGATGTTCCCCACAGGCATATCACAGTTCTCCTGACAGGCAACACTGTGCCCAAGGATTGTTTCAAACAGTGAAATCAACAAAAAGATACAAAATGTGACAGCAAAGAGAATTTTTGAAGATCCCTGTTTATAGTATGATGCTGAAACAGAGACAAAAGGCAGAACACTGCCTTGTTGGACCTCAACCAGGAATATGTTTACCAGGTGACTCAAATTTTTCACCACTCTTCAGAGAACTGCAAGTTCTATGGTGAATTCAAAAACAGCAAGTCCAAAAATTGTAAGGATTGATGGTGTGTGTGCACCAGTAGAGGAACAGCCAAGTTAGTGTGTGAGAACATCTATGATGTACCAGGAACTATTTTAGACAGTTAAAATGCATTAACTTAGTCAATACAATAGCCTATTGGGTGGTATATTGGTTTGACCTTTAAACTTGTAACAAAACACCTGACATAAACAACTTAACAGGAGGAAAGGTCTTTTGGCTCACAGTTTCAGAGGTTTCAGTCTATCATAGCAGGGCAGGCATGGCAGAACAGAGCAGTTCACATCATGGTAGTCAGAAAGCTAAGAAAGGGAAGGAGACCTGAGGCCTGATAAATAATCTTCAAAGTTATAGCTGAAGTGACCTACCTCCCAAAAGCTTTCTCTACTTCCAAAGTTTCCACCACTCACAAAATAGCACCACTAGCTGAGCACCAGGCATCCAGTGCATGAACCTGAATTTCACAATCAGAACATAATGTTCTGATTCCCATGTTATAAATGACACACTAAGGTAGAAAGATTTAAGCACTATAATTTCTTAGCAACAAGACTGACTGCTCCACTTCTCAAATCATATTCTAAAACCAGCCACAAAGATTTGTGGAATCAGTTGCAAAACGCGCATGAATATTCAAGAAGAAATGAATTCAAACAACTATTATATCTGCATCTTGGCAGAGGCATCAAGCTGAACTCCCTGTGTCTGCAGCTGGGGAAGGCACTGGAGACAGTATTGGGGATGTGTGAATGGCTTTGCTCTAAGGTATTAATGTCTCCAGGGAACTTCCTGTCTCATTTTCCCTCAGGTGCTTTTGATTCCTGAGCTAGCCTCTAAGGAATGCCTGACATTAAGTACTTGGGTCAGAGCTGAACCTTTATTTCTGCAGGTTCCATCTGGTGTCAGGCTATCCCCACAAAGAGTAGTTGGCTGAGGGAGAAAAGCATAAACATCACTCATGCCCTTACGGAAGTTCTGCCTCTCTGTTAATTTTGGTAGGTCAAACCATCTGGTATGGGTAGCTGAGGTGCTGTGAATTTGGATTACAAAGGACTACAGAGGACAGACTCAACTCAGAGGCTAACTATACCTCAGAGATGTCCCAATGTGATGACTCATCATAATGGTCAACCTAACTGGATTGAAAAACAGCTAGGAGATTAGTAAAGCATACCTTTGCAGTCATGTCTCTAGAGGTGATTGGCTTCTGACCAGATGATGAATACATTAATCCCTTGATGGGTTCATAACACAATGGCATTATTGGGAGGTGTTGAAAGGTAGGAGGTAAAATCTCCTCAGAAGAAGCAGGCAACTGGGGATGTGTCCCTGGGGCTGTATCTTCCTCTGACCCATTCCTGAAGTTCCTAGTCTCTGCTTCCTGGACTATGAACTGTTCTGTTCTTTACACCCTTCCATCATGATGGAGTGACACCACTGAGACCATGAGTCAAAATAAATGTCTTCTACTCTTATCCATGATATTTGGTCACAGCTACACAAAAATATCTCATGCACCTGGTTCCCAGCCTCACCTTTCACTCACATTCTCCTTTACTCTGCCCCAGTGCTGACAGAGCCTTCCTTCAGTCATCACTCCTCCATCCCATGCTTCATACCATCCCCTGAGGCCTGACTCAAGTGTATAAGTAAGACCTTGCCAAAGGAAGGGAATAGGCAGGAATTGGAGAATGGAAAGACAGAAATGAGGAAACCTTGAGAGAGCCAATCTGACTAGCCTGGCTATTGAGTACAGCCTGCTCCCCTGATCCATCTCTGGCTTCCAGGTTGGGCCCCTCCTTCTAGCTCTTAGATTGCCTCCTCTTGAGGAATCTCACTACCTAGCAACAAGAGCACTGCATCCTGACTCCCCTGAGGGGTCTGGGAAATCAAGTTCCATTCCTTCCTAAGATCTACCTACTCAGCTTCTTGGTTTCTGCCACCTGTCCTGATATTTGCTTCTTCCTGATGGAATTTCATAGAGTCCTTCTTCTGCTCCAGGCATTGCCTAGTGAACCAACCAGACAAGCTCAGCAATACAACCCTCACAGAAGAGATACAGGGAGGACCTGGGAAGTAACTGGTAATTAGTGGTGTTGCATATGATGGTTCACACTGAGAGAAGATCTGCTCAGGCCTCAGGCCTTGATTTGTTCAATTGCCTTTTCTGTTTGCAGAATTGTGAAATAAAGTTGAAAAGCACACATAAGACCATTGGGTGAAGCTAGGTAGATAGCGCAGTGGATAAAAGCATTTCCTATGCAAGCATGAGACGAGTTCAAATCCTCAACACCCACATAAAAGCCAGGCATGGAACCCACCTCTGTACCCCCAGCACTGACTGGGGATAGAAACAGGCAGATACCAGGGGCTGGCTTGCAGCCAGTCTAGCCAAGATGGTGAACTCCAGGTTCAATGGAAAACCCTGTCTCAAAAAGGTTGATATGAATAGATACAGATGTTGACCTCTGGTCTTCACACACACATGAATAGGTGTCGTACACACTTGTATACATAGGTCCATGCACACACATGTGCCACGTACACATGCCAAAATGAAGAGTATTAGAGACTTGAAGAAAAAGAGAATTTGGAGGCAAATCCTGTGGAAGGTACTGTTGACTGCAATAGCCAAGGCCACCAAGAGATAACAATCAGAGTGGTTGGTGAGCAGGGTGCTTTTAAGAGCATGTGATTACTAAGGGAGTGATCTTCACCCCAAACACAAAACAAAACAAGAATGAGGAGGGGAGGATAGAGAAGGGGCAAGAATGACCTGTGGTTCAGGTCAAGTTTAGATTTCTTGTGATCCTGAGGGACCCTGGAGCAAAAGCTATGTCATAGACTTGTCCTAGCACGAAGCAACAGGACTAAGCTGTCATACCTATATGCCAGTGAGCATTGCCCCTCGGGAGCTGGAAGGTAGCATAAGCTCCTTGACAGCCACCAAGGTCCATCTTAGGAAAGTTCTGGGTGTAAGTCCCTGGCTGCTATCCTCTCATATACTAGGGAATAGGTACATCTACTGCAAAGGGATGCTACACAAGACATGCTCACCAGTGGTATCTACCACATAGCTTTGTAGGACATATTCCCAGCCCCATTTGAGGAAGATGCTTTGAAGTACTGATGGTTTTCTCACTGTTCACAGTGAAGTTCTTTGGAACATAAAACTATTATTCAAGCCTTTATCTAATTGTTTTTCTGCCTCATAAGCAAAAGCACCCCTAAAAGTAAGGAGCATGATGGAAGGTGGTTGTAGTTGTTTAAATGAGAAATG